ATATATATATATATATATATATATATACACAGTTTACTCCTTGCTTAAAGTTTCAAGCGTTCTTCTCTATCTTCACCAAAGAAAATTTTTTAAAAGGAAAGAAATAAACAAGAAAATAAATTAAGAAGAGGTAATCTATTACCTCTTCTGGAAGGAGATATGAACAACCAGTCCAGAAAGATCTGACTGCAAGCTCAACAACTGAGAAGTCAGTCTGGTGCAGCCTTTACATCTTCCTTTACGTGCATGAAAGCGTAGTGCGTAGGGCAGGACGGTCCTCTCTCAATTATTTTTTTCACATTATAGCTGATCATTTGAATAGACTCCAAATTTAACTGGTGTTTAGGGAAATAGCTGTTCGTCCCTGAGACAAAGGACTATTTATTTTATAAGTTTAGCAAAATGATTTCTTTTCATCTACAGAGCTAGAGCTTAAATCAAATCCTAATCAAATCCCCATAATTCAAATGACTTAATAATTGTAACACAAGCGTTCCTAATTGATAAATAGAAAGATGACCCAGTTAGTTAATGCTTTCACACTGATCTGGTAAATTTTTAAAATAAAAGATGGGCTTTTCTTCAGTGAGAAATTCAAAACCTCTTCGCATTAGATCCATGACACTTCTTCTCAATAATTTTTCAATAGATTTCAACTCAAAGACAACAAACAGGGTTTAGCCACACAGAATATTAGCTTTACAAAGTGATATACTTTTTCTTCAGTCTTACTGTAAGCTAGCTCGTACTTATGCAATGGCTGCAGTATTATTGCATGGCTTCTCCCATTGAGCCAAACTGTCACTGAGCAACTTGTTTGCATAATCGTGCTACCACAAGATAACATGGCTTTCTTCAGAAAAAAATCCCCTGTGTATAGGTAAAACAAAAAACAAAAACATAAAGCATGTAAGTGTTTGCTGGTGATTTGTTACCTTACTAAAGCAACACTTACAAGGGCTACTGTAATGAGTAAGTGTTACATAATTCAGCTAAGCAACTCATGTAAGGTACCAACTGAAGTATTTTGAATAACTTAGGGATTCTACTAAAGAATGTTCCAATCATATTTAGTCCTCAAAGGAAAAAAAAAACTGCGTTTAATAAAAAAAAGGGATAATAAAATTATTGACCAGAGAAACAATCCCTAATACAGCTATACTACTAAGCCAATACTTATACCCAATAAGAATTCATGGTCTCAAACTTGGCTGGGCCTCAACGCTAACCAGCGACCCTTCTGTTCCCTTTGCCTTTCTTCTCTGTAAATTTTCCATCCTTGTACCACTCTCCCCAAGCTTTCAATCTCATCTCTTTTCTCCTAACTCCCAGAGGATAACCTCATCTCCAATTTCACAGAGAATATAGAAGCCAACAGACAGAAACTTCCTCAACATTGTGTTTGCATCTTTCCGATGCTGGCCCTATGCAATGTGTATCTGTACCCACTATCATCTTTCATTCCTCCATTCTCAAAATGTCCCCAGCCTAAATACTCAAAGAGACAGCAAAACAAAGCACTGTTCTTCCTTCCTTATTTCTACTATGACTTGAACTACTCCTCTTTTCCTTTCCAACTGAGAGCAGAGGAAATGAAGAAAAAAGATTCTTAAAGAATAGTGCTAGGGGGCGCCTGGGTGGCGCAGTCGGTTGGCGTCCGACTTCAGCCAGGTCACGATCTCGTGGTCCGTGGGTTCGAGCCCCGCGTCGGGCTCTGGGCTGATGGCTCAGAGCCTGGAGCCTGCTTCCGATTCTGTGTCTCCCTCTCTCTCTCTGCCCCTCCCCCGTTCATGCTCTGTCTCTCTCTGTCCCAAAAATAAATAAACGTTGAAAAAAAAAATTTTTTTAAAAAGAATAGTGCTAGATTAGGGGATTCCTATGCTCCCAAACTTTCAACTCTCTTTTGGTGATATTTCAAAACAGGTAAGTGGTTCTATAGCCTTTTAAAAGAAATCACAAAAATGATTCTAAATAGAAATCACATACAATACAATTAACTTCATTTAGGTCTTTCATTAAGAACATACCCTCCCAATCAAACGTAAATTCTACAAGAAAATACAATTTGTTTTCGAACAGATATGGTTTCCCGGAATGCATTCCAGCACACTGTTTAAAGGTTCTTCTTGAAGAAATTCAAAAGGAAGTCTCTCAGTTATTCATCCACTTAATCTCACTTATGCAGCCACCTCTGACACAATACTAGTTATAAAAGTAGTGAGCAACATTACTTATACCCAAAAGTGCTTCACTACCATTCATGTTCAAAATGGCTTTACCATGATTAGGGAGTCTTTTTTCTTTTCTTTTTTTTCCCCACCAAACACCAACATCTGTGGTCACACTCAGATAAAATGTTACAATCAAGCTTTAGCATCTAAATGTAGAGGGGAAAAAAGAAAAATATAAATACATTGATATTTTATTTTAAAGGACTTCAATTCTAAATTACGGTAAGAAAAAAAAAGAATGAACCAAAAAGCAATGGAGAAAAAAAGGTGAGAAAAACAGGAAATAAGAATAGAAGAAAAACAGAAACAGGTAAAGAGAAAGACAATCTAAGTTGTTTTACCTACTCCTCACTTAGCTAGTTCACTGTACTATAATTCGCTCTCCATGTGAATTATCTGATTAATCACGATTTAGAGTCCTTCATTCTTACATTTTACTTTCCCTAGAGAGTGAGATCAGTACAATATTAATATGGCATCCCTAAGCTGTAGCAGAAAACAAAACATTATTTTCTCTAGTGTTTCACACTGAAAGGTTCATTTTATTCCCAGAAAATCTTTTCCTAATTATAAAATCAGTTAAGCCAGAGACCCAAAACCCAGTTCACAATTTTCCAACTCTGATTCTTCTCTGTAAATAGAAGAGTATCAGGAGGTAAAACTAAAAACACTGAGGCAGAATAATTAGAGTAAGAAAAATATTAAAAGGACATGGGAATGCAAGCTGGTGCAGCCCCTCTGAAAAATAGTATGGAGGTCCCTCAAAAAACTAAAAATAGAACTACCCTGCGACCCAGCAGTTGCACTACTAGGCATTTATCCAAGGGATACAGGTGTGCTGTTTTGAAGGGGCACATGCACCCCAATGTTTACAGCAGCACTGTCGACAATAGCCAAAGTATGGAAAGAGCCCAAATGTCAATCGATGGATGAATGGATAAAGAAGATGTGGTATATATATACAATGGAGTATTACTCAGCAATCAAAAAGAATGAACTCTTGCCATTTGCAACTATCGTGGATGGAACTAGACAGTATTATGCTAAGTGAAATTAGTCAGAGAAAGACAAATATCATATGACTTCGCTCATATCAGGACTTTAAGAGACAAAACAGATGAGCATAAGGGAAGGAAAACAAATACAATATAAAAACAGAGAGGGGGACAAAACATAAGACACTCTTAAATATGGAGAACAAACAGAGGGTTACTGGAGGGGGTATGGGAGGGGGGATGGGCTAAATGGGTAAGGGGCATTAAGGAATCTACTCCTGAAATCATTGTTGCACTATATGCTAATTTGGATGTAAATTAAAAAAATTTTAATTAAAAAATTAAATTAAATTAAAAAAATTTTTAAAAAAGGAGAGGACATTATGATGTTTGCCTATGTATAAAGATGACCTTAAAGAAAGAATATAAATAGAAAAAAAAACTATTCTACATTAATATAAGTAGGAAACTGAAAATGCTGTTGCTATTGTCCTCAATTTTCCTCTCATGAAATTCCCTTTCATGCATACATAAGACAAAACAATTCTTCATCCTCTTTCAATACAGTTATCTAAATACTATGCTGTGTCAAAAAATAAAAATAATATTCCTCAAGAGAAAAATACCTGGAAGCAACTTTGTGCCTTATAGTTACTTTAAAAGATGGAACCTTCCATAGAGTCGGTACTTTACAGACTGATGTGACAAAATAACATAAAGTATAAGACACCCAGAGTTCAATTCCTCCATGTTTGTTCCTCCACTGAATAATAGTTCACGTACTTTTTTAGGTGTTACAACATTTAAAAGTTACATTAGTATCAATTATAGTTGAGATATAATTCACGTTTATCCCTACCTGAGAACTCCATCTACTTGATCTTTGGTGTAGCCTTTTCCACTTTCACCACTACCAGATATGCTGTCCTTCGTGCAATTAGGCTTGTTTTGGTCACCACAACCTGATGGTTTTCGGCAGTGAGGGCTATTTCCAGCCGTGCTTCCATTTTTCATAATTATTTCCAACAGTGCTGTGGAAAGATAAAGCACACTATGCCATGTAACATCATGTACATACATATGATCTTGAGAAGAAAGTTATAAAGCTGACAAATTAAGAATCATATACTCCGAAAGAATTTAACGTAAGGCTCTTTTTTTAATTCCTTTATGTACTTGTTTACACACCACTAATCATCACTTAGAAGCAGAATATTACTAAATTAAACCTAAAAACTCAAAATTACTGTCACTTAATTCCTTATGACATACTTTCATTTGTCACCTCATGGTGAAACTACAGAATACCAAAGAAAAAGAGATAGTCTTTAAAGAAGCCAATGAAATTATCTACAAAGAAACAGAAATTAGACTTCCTCTTTATTTCTCAACAACAATAATGGCGCTGAAAGACATGGGAATAGTATCTTCAAAATGTTCCGGGTGAATAACTGTCAAACTTGAATTCTGCACTTACTTTCTAGAAAATGTGCAAGATTACAACCATTTTCAAAGAAACAAAAACTAATAAAACTTACCACTAAGATTTCACTAGAGGATACTGTAATGTATATGTTTTGGAAAGAAGGAAAATGCTTCAAGATAGGTGAAAAGGTGAAAGGGAATGGCATGCAAATACTGTGGTAAATGTATGAAAAAAATCTAAACACTGAGTCTATAAAACAATAATATAGATATGTCTAGGATTTGCTTTAAAGTACTGGAGGAACATAAGAGGGCAGAGAAAATACATTGGCCATATAAAAGATGAGAGGGCAATAGGAATTGATTATACTATTCTCTTTCCTTTTGTGTATGCTTGAAACTTTCCATAAGTTAAAACTAAATAAACATGGGAAAAAAATAAAAGAAAGAAACAGAAATCCACCATGATGATAAAATATTTTAGTATGTTTCTGTTTAACACAATTGAACACAATTCAATGTCAGTTATTAACTGACATAGGGTAAATGAAAAAAATCACCAAGGATACAAATGATATAAACATCTACTTTGTCAAGCTTGAGCTAGGAGACATAACATTATCTCCACCAATTGGTGAATATTCATTCTATACAGGCACACAAAGAATAAAAATTGACTACATTATATACTTAGACCATGTTACTGTCCTTGAATTTTTTTTAATATGAAATTTACTGTCAAATTGGTTTCCATACAACACCCAGTGCTCATCCCAACAGGTGCCCTCCTCAATGCCCATCACCCACTTTCCCCTCCCCCCATCAACCCTCAGTTTATTCTCAGTTTTTAAGAGTCTCTTATGGTTTGCCTCCTTCCCTCCTTTTTTTTCCCTTCCCCTCCCCCATGGTCTTCTGTTAAGTTTCTCAGGATCCACATAAGAGTGAAAACATACGGTCTCTGTCTTTCTCTATATGACTTCTCTTTGAATTTTTAAAGAATTAATCATATGTTCCACAATCGAATGAGCACAATGCATTTAAGTAAGAAATCAATTTAAAAATTTAAGCAGCAAAATCACAAATGGGTTAGAAAAAAAATTGAGACAACTCATGTATCAAAGAATTAATCATAATAGAAATGAAAAAATAGAATTGAACAAAAATGAACATACTACTTATCAGAACATGTGGGTTAACAAATGGAGTTGGGACAACTGAATGTCCACATGCAAAAAAATGAATTTGGATCCCTTTGTCACACCATATACAAAAATTAGCTTAAAATAGATCACATACCTAACTGTAAGGGCTAAAACTATAGAACTGTCAGAAGAAAATATAGGAGTATGTCTTTATGACCTTGATTCAGGCAAAACATTTTTAGATAAAAGTACATGTGACAAAAGGAAAACAAGAGAAAACAGACTTCATCAAAATTAAAAACTCTATCCCTTCAAATAATATTATCAATAAAGTAAAAAGATAATCCACAGAAAGGGAGAACCTATTTATGAAATCATGCAAAATCATGCGTTCTACAAAAGACGTATACCCAAGAGAAATAAAAACATACATCTACACAAAAACTGGCTCACAAATGTTCATAACAGCATTGTTCATAATGGAAAAATATTGGAAATAATCCAGATGTTCATTAATTGATGAATGGATAAATAAAATGCGATACATCAATATAATGGAATATTATTCAGCAATAAAAAGAAATGAAGTACTGATATATGCTACAACATAGATGAAAGTGAAAGAAGCCAGTCACAAATATTGTATGATTTTATTTATATGAAATGTATAGAATAGGCAAATGTATAGAGATAGAAAGTAGATTAGTCATTGCCAAGGGCTAGTGGGGAGAAAAGGGTGGAATCAGGGAGAAATGAGGACTGACTGGGGTGCCTGGGAGGCTCAGTTAAGCGTACAACTTCAGCTCAGGTCATGATCTCATAGTCTGTGAGTTCAAGTCCCGCGTCAGGCTCTGTGCTGACAGCTAAGGGCCTGGAGCCCGCTTCTGATTCTGTGTCTCCCTCTCTCTCTGCCCCTCCCCCGCTCATGCTCTGTCTCTCTCACTCTCAAAAATGAATAAATGTTAAAAAAAAAAATTAAAAAAAAAAAGAAATGAGGACTGACTACTAATGAGTACAGGGTTTCTTTTCGTGGTGAAAAATTGTTCTAAAATTGTTTGCTGTAATGGCTGCACAATTATAAATGTACTAAAACCCACTGAATGGTATACCTTATTTTTTTTAATAACACGTTTTTAAAATTTATTTATTTTGAAAGGAGAGAAAGAGAAAGAGAGCATGGGAGGGACAGAGACAGAGGGAGAGAGAGAATCCCAAGCAGGCTCCGCACTGTCAGAGCAGACCCTGACACAGGGCTCGAACCCATGAACCATGAGATCATGACCTGAGCTGAAACCAAGAGTCAGACACTTAACTGAGCCACCCAGGAGCCCTGAAATGGTATACTTTAAATGAATTAATTGTAGGATATGTGAATTATATCTCAATAAAGCTGTCTTATTTATATACATATATATAAATTTATATAAAATTATATATATATATATTTAAAGATTCCATCAGTGTTGGCAAGTTGCAAACATATAGTTGTTTTATGTTTTATTTTATTCATATATATATATACACACACACATATATATTTATATATCTATGTAGATAGAAAGATAGATTTTTTTTAAGAAGAAATAGAGTGTGAGTGGGGTGACAGGCAGAGAGAGAGAAGACACAGAATCCGAAACGGGCTCCAGGCTCTGAGCTATGAGCACAGAGACCAACATGGGGCTCGAACTCACAAACTGGGAGATCATGACCTGAGCTGAAGTCAGACACTTAACCGACTGAGCCACCCAGGCGCCCCTATTTATATTTTTTATATATGAGTACTTCTTTCAACGTATCTTTTCCCTAGTTAATGCATTCAAGAGTAAATACATAAGAAATTCAGTTTTTATAATATCTAGCTTTAGACAATACAAAAAAGTTCTTAGACACCAACCTATTAGTTACTAACAAGATAAGTGTAACACATGTTATATAGTTAATTGTTAACTATAGTTTAGTTTGTATTTAATGCATTATAATGTTAACACTGAGTGCAGAAGCCAGCATGGTCTAGAGATTAGGGGTTCACAACTTTTAAATGTGAAAAATTTTGTGAGAATTCTGGGAAGAAGGATGTGACAGCAGCTAAAAATTTTAAATCTCTGCCAATTCCCTCATAAAGTCTGAGCAATTAGATAGCAAAATCAAAACCTCATACACAAAATCCCCAAATACCAGAAGGGAGGGACAATCCACCAACAGCTACAAGATCTATGTGGGTTTTGCCATTGGTGTTAACAGGACATTTGCTAGTCCACAGAACAAAAGAACTCCAAAATAACCTGCAGGGACTTTCTATATTATAACACATAAGACAAAACTGAGAAAAGCATGTAAAAAGAATGAGTTTTGCTCACTATAGTAACATATGAGTGACAGGACCAACACTAAACTCCTACAGGCATATGGGGCGCCTTTCATTTATGGTTTTAGATTTTTTTTATCAGAAACGTTTTCTCTAATTATTGTTTTATTGGTTTTATTCCCTTGCTTTATTTTTCTTTTTCTCAGGACTCCTATTATGTTTGTTGGATGTCCTTTAACTGTTTTCAGTATTTGCCATTTTTTCTATTTTTTTTAATTTAAAATTTTTCCTCCTTTTAATACTCTCTTTTGCTTACACAACATTAACTGTAGTTTATTAATTTTTCTTCTAGTCTTCTTTTTTGAATTGATTTTTTTCTTTTCATTCTTATTCTTCCCTGAGTTTTATCATCTAAGCTCTGAATGAATAATTTTGGCAGTTCTAATTCTAATTTATGGTGTACTTTCGTATTGTTTTTAACTTTTTAGTCTTTTCAGCTTGTTTTGAAGTACTGGTGTATAGTGTTTACCTGTTTTGTTGGCAAGTCTTTGTGATGTATTTTCTTTGTCTTTAGAGATTTATTTTATACCTGTTTGCTTTTTTTTCTCACAATAAATTTGTATCAAGTTTCAGTCCTATCATTTTTTTATACTCATTTTTTAAAGTCATTTTTATGTTAGGGTAGTTAGCTTTTCTAAATACACAGAGATCCTTCTCCAGTTTTTGGGTAATGTTTGAAAATATGGCTCCTTGCTATATAAGATCTCTTCACTCCTTTCTCTTTCCCCTCTTTATCTGGAATTACTCATTTTTTCTATTGCCCCTGCTCTCTTCAGTTGGGTCCTGTTCCCATCAGGTTCTCAGTATGGCTTTGTTCTGGACGAGATTTTTCACTGACTAGTTTTGAGAGTTTGCAGTGACTGGAGTTTCTATGCCTGTAAGAGCTTATCTTACTTTATTTTTTAATGTTTATTTATTTATTTTGAGAGACAGAGAGCAAGCGTGAGCGGGGGAGAGCGAGGGGAGGAGAGAGAATCCTAAGCAGGCTCTGTGCTGTCAGCAACAGAGCCCAACGCAAGGCTCAGTCCCACGAACTGTGATATTATGACCTGAGCCAGCATCCAGGGTTGGATACTTAACTGACTGAAAGGGCAAATCA